TTATCTCAAAAGTTAGCATATCGCTTGGAATACAACTATTTAAATCTCGATTTGTTAACGAAATAAAGGAAAAAGGAACTAATAAAGTATATGCAAAATCACAATTAATGGTTTAAGTATATCAGAATACAGACAAAACCATTGTTTTAATACAATCACCAACTATTCAATGTGTTAGCCAGTATATTATTTTTGCACTTGCTGCTATTTTGTGAGTGTCAAACAAGCATATTCAGATCTATTTACGGGATATTATATAGGCATATATTTAGTCGATTACAACTTTGAATAGACCTATTTATATAGAAACACCAGTAAAGGTTGGATTTGATGATGGATATGTACTTTATATTGTCAAGCCTTTATATGGTATCCCAGAGGTAGGAAACCATTGGTTTAGAATCTACCACAACCATTATAAGGATAGACTAAATATAACACAATCCATATACAATTCTTGTTTACTCTATTTAACTAATTATATCGATATTATAGGACTTCAAATCGATAATACTCTTATAATTGCAGACAAGAGATTCGCATATTTAGAATAAGAGAAGTTAAAGAAGACTGGTTTTATAGCTAAAAACAGAGAATAGTTTATTGAAAACTATTTACTCAAGTTTAATGGTGGTTTGATTATTTTCAAAAATAATAGGATTTATTTGAATCAAGAAAAACAATATAATAATCTCAGAATAGTCACACCGGGAAATGTCGATATACACAAAACAAAAAAAAAAGTTCAAAAAATGTTATTTCGAAGAATCAGTATATCGCTTAACACATAAGAAATATATATATTGCAACTATATATCAACCAGAGGCATCATACTATCTTTCTATTACTACCCAAATAATAAATCCGAAGGAGAAAGATACTATCAAACTTAATAAAGTTATCAAATGGTAGATGGACAATCCAAAAAGAGGATTTACATTCATATCTCTCAATATGAATTCTATCAATTTAATTGTTTTTATCAATACATCCTTTACTAACAATACTAATCTATCATCACAAATCAGCTATATTATATACCTCGTAGATAAGTATAGTAATACTAATATCATTTATTGGATATTGGTTAAATACAAGAGAATCATTAGGAGTGTATTAGCTTTTGAACTATATACACTAATTCTAGATTTTGATATCGAAACTATTATTAAAGATATTATTAATATTATTCTCAAATCTAAAAAGTGAATATCATTTATACTTTGTATAGATTCTAAATTATTATATAATCTATTAACTAAACTCAGTATAAATATAGAAAAAACGATTTTTAATTAATATTATGACTTTACGATAATACTATAAAAATAGGGAGATCATGGAGATTAAATAAATTGATAGGAAATCAAATCCTATGAATATTATAATTAAAAACGGTGTATGTCAAGCTTTAAAAGACTTGATTGATATTAATAAAATAGTTATTTAAATGATGTATTAAATAAAAAGAGAATAGTAAAAGGGGAGCTAAGGAAATAAGAATAGAATACTGTGCTTAAGATTGAATAATAGGCTTAGGCTTAAAGCATATAATCCATTCAACTTAAGAATTGCCAGTATCGGGATATCGATCATGTGATCTAAGAGGGCACTGTATTGCACTAGCATATGTACTAGCGTATGCACTAGCGCTAGCACTTCTATTATATTAAATACTAGCTTCCCATAGTTAATAATGATCAAGAACGAATACAACCACAATAGACTAAAGTACTATACACTTTATCAACCCCAAGTTGATACCAACACTACCTTTTAACTGACGATATGAGCATACAATGATGCAATAAATGATACTATCTAATACATGTTATTTCTCGCCTTTCCTTCAACTGATAGCCATACCCAAATACGTGGTCTTCATCTGTCCTTGCATGAAACATTGTTCACACAAGAAAATTATTATAAATTATCTTATTGGCTCACCAAATAAAAATATCAAAACCACAGGGTGATAAACCTACAATCTCATACACCTCCCACTTTCCTTGACACAAATCAAAACACTCCAAATCCTTTCAAAATCAAAACATATCATAAATCTTCCAGAGAACAAACACTTCATCTCGATACAGAAGTAGCGTTCTCAAGTACAATTATTAAAGCGACGACGAGGACAAGTGCGGTACTTGCTAAGATAATTTTCTTAATATTGGAAGACATGTAGTCCGACACTTGTTCTTCGGTGGCGATACAGCTTCAGAATTTCAAAGATACATTTCCACTTCGCAGAAGAAGCCAATTCTCGCATTAGTTGAAAACGATAATAATGCAGATTTCCAGAAGTCTCAGTCTCTTTTTACATGCAATCCGGTAATTAATCTCTCTAATATAAGTTCTTAATAGCGCAGGGCGTTGTAAATACGCCTGTCTAGCATGTTGAACTAAAAATTCCTGTAAGGTTTTGAGGTCCGATGATCATCGATATCAATTCTCAAACTTGACACGAGGGGTCAAGATGCCACCTAAAATTGCATCTACTATCTCACCTGCTCATGATTTTCTTTCGGAATCACAATTGCGAGGCAAGGACTTTGCAAAATTTGAGGAATCCTAACCGATTAGATTCAAACTCTTCATCGATACTGTTAATTCTTTGGATCAATCCGCAAGTGAGATAGATGAAATGTAATTAACTTTCGTTCCTTCATGGTGAAAGTGCTGGAAATGATGAAGATGATTGTTGTCGTGGCGATAGATGTTGGTGTGACTCATACGATGATGAATTTTATCGTCTTAGACAGGAACCGCGTTTGCAGCTATTGTGATCGTGATGATAACAAAGAAGCTTCCCATGAGATTGATTGCCATGCTGGAGTTTGCGATGGAATTCTGGATCACATGAGTTTAGATAGTGAAGTGAAGTTTGAGGAAAGACTTGGTGGGAAGACAATTGTGGTTAGGGAGTTGATTAAAGCGAGACAGGAAAGAAGATGGAACTTGCAGTCTCCTTTAGAGGTGTTACTACTCGCACTATGTAGAGATGAGGTTGTGGCTTTCTACGAACAAAGAGGATGAGCTTGAGTAGGGGTCGTCATGAACAATTGGGTTTCTGACCTCTTCTCTTCTTTTCTTGATCTTTTTTATCATTTGCTTTTAGATTTATGAGATATGTATTCATATAACAAAGAATCAAAGCTTTCGGGTAACAGGAGACTCTACGAGAATTTAATTTACCTTTGCTCAAGGGGCGAGCGTTACAGCCGCAAGAGTGTCAATTTTTTTTGCAATGGCGGCGAGCATTAAAAAGAGAAGGCGTATGAGTTTGCAGGAAAATCACTCACCTAGTCGGAAGAGTAAACCTCGCTCTCAGTATACACCCTAGTGATCAACGCACCCTCTCATATTCGGGTTCAGCTATGACTAATTTGTGTCGCTCGATTAAGGAGGGAGCAGAAATCAGATTTGACAACTGGTTCAACATTCAGTTCTCGAATCTAATTACTTGCCTTAGCATAATCGACTTATTCCGAAAGTCTTCAATGAGCGCTCCCAATGCTTGACTGTAGCATGTTCATAGACAGATGAAAATCGATGAGGCTGCGGGGGGCTCCTGCAGAACAAAATGGAACCGTGACTGTGACGCCGAATTTACCAGCTGTACTACCCACGCCGGAACAGCATGAGATTGATACGGAGGAGAAAATGAGAAGGATGAGAAAAACACTTGGGTTTGGGGAAACTACTACTCCGCTAGAAAATTTTCTCTGAATGGCGGCGATACGGTTGTGTAAATTTGCCTCGACAACCGGAAAACGGTAGACAATGGAGAACGCATCCATAAAAGACCACAATGCCATCTGTAACACAATCTATTGTTCTGCATCTACCAATTTACCGATCGGGCACTCTCGCAAAATTCATAAGTTACAACTGGCTCTGGATTTGCGCAGATCAAACTAGATACTGGACCTCTTGTAACAGAAGCTTTGAGGGAGAAGGTCAAGCGCCTGCGCTGTACTTATCGTGATCTCACTACTATAAACTTAAGCGATCCCTTTTCTACCGGGCTTTAAATCCTGAATGCAGTCAAGCTAGGAATTGTTCCACAGAAATTCGGACACAAGTCACTTCTTAGCACTAGCGAGCTTGATGGGTCAACGAATTGATTTATGAAGGACAATCTGTAGGCATGCACGAATATACTTCAGTCAAAAATGAGGAACCATCAGACTGTAGGTACATAGGAACTTACTAGTATATTCTTTGTTATGAGTCGGAGAGTAAACAACTTCGATAAGAGAGATTCTCTTGTGAATATGAGATGCTTTTATTATAACATAAGTACTATAGATCATTGAGAAGGATTTCAAGAATCGAGAATTGAAGATATATAAGTGTCACGGGACCACCTCTGGGAGCATTCAGAAGCTTTACCGCTATGCTACAAAAGCATAAAAGACTAGGAGGTAGAACTAGAAGTTCTACCTTGCTCTCACATATATAGCAGGACAGGACAGGACAGGACAGGAAGGGCTAGTGTCACTTCGTGACAATAAGAGAAATATTAATAGAGGTTTATCTCCTTAATATTCTTACTATCTGTAAGAATCATATTATATATGAATATAATTACTGCTTTTATACTCTTTCAGTTTATTTATTGATTATGAAATAATGAACAGTTAATAGTTTAATAATAATATTTAAATGACTATGGATATATTCCTAGAACTCAAAAATAAACTAAGCTTTCCAATCAATCATAATTAGTAGAAATAGATTATAAAATTTCCAGGTATTTTAAAACCAAATAAACACATTCTTCCCTTCGACCAAGTCACTTAACTCCGAATTGACCGAGAAAAACTGGGGATGCGGAGATGACGGGAGGATCAGATAACTTAGATGCAACTACAAACTCCGACGTATAACTTAAGTCCGTCGCTAGCTCTTTTGGGCGCTTTGCTATTATATATCTATTTAGTGAATATCTCGTCAGTCGTGAATTTCAGAAAGTCATTCTGTAACACTTCGTTACTGAATACACACCACCAAATACTTCGAAAGGGCTCTCTCATCATGGGTTTTATATTTTACTTGCAAATAGCAAATATAGCGTTTCATTTCCTATTGAAATTCGGAAAGCAGAAAGTCACAGCAATCATTCACCGTTTCACATACCGCGCAACTTCCGATCCAAAAAATATCGTCATCATAGGCGGTTCGTTCTCCGGAATGCAGTTAGCGATGCTACTTTCCACATCCATGCCTACTGGATATAAAGTCACGCTGGTTGAAAAAAACACGCATATGCATTATTGTTTTGCTTTTCCGAGATTCAGTGTGCTGGGTGGTCATGATCACAAAGCTTTTATACCTTATGAGGGACTGTTGAGACGTGCGCCGAAAGGAGCTATATCTATTATTCATGAGAAAGCTATCAATATTCACAAAGACCATATTGAGCTTGCATCAAATGAGAAACTTTCTTATGAATACCTCGTTATCGCAACAGGTGTATCACAGCCTGCACCGGCTCGACTATCCGCGACAGATAAGATAGGGGGCGAAGGCGAATTGCGTGGTTATCAAAAAGCTATCCGTGCCTCTTCACGAATTGCAGTTGTTGGTGGTGGTGCAGTTGGAGTCGAGCTCGCAACTGATATCAAGAGCTTCTTACCAGATAAGAATGTGACGTTGATTCACTCTCGAGATCGTTTACTCGTTAGATTTGGACCACAGCTACATGAAGCGGCTTATAAGCGACTTCAAGAGCTGGGAGTGAAAGTTTATCTTAATGAACGACCTTCACTGCCTAATAGCAAGCCATTTATGCCATCGGAGACAGATATTGTATTTAAGGATGGTCAAGTTGAGACTTTTGATCTTGTGGTATGCGATGCCTATTATTGTATTTTCCCTTAAAGCCGATTGCTGACTTCAAAAGATATCATGCATCGGACAAAGCCCAAACTCCAGCCCACTCAAAACCCTTTTACCAGATGCTATCACAGAATATGGTTTCATTCGTGTAGAACCAACACTGCAAGTCAAAGCCGAAAATGAAAAACACAAAAATATTTTCGCTATAGGAGATGTTGCAGCTACTGACGGTCCAAAGATGGCATTCGCAGGCATAGCGCAGGCGGATGTTGCTTGTTCTAATATCCTTAAATTGATTCGAGAAAACCACAGTACACTTCAACCGTATGTTCCAAACTTTATTGAGGGAAAGATCAAGCTTAGTCTTGGAAAAGTAAGTAAACTATGGGTCCTCCGATTCTGAAGTCATTATCTAACTTTCGCATGGCATAGGACCGCGGGGTGTTCTTCATGGAGAATGAGAATGATTATTTACTAAAATTTTCCAATCATGATGCACCTGATATTGATGCTAGGAAAGCGTGGAAGTTCTTTGGAGTAAATATGAAATAATTGAAGGATTGAGTCTTGCTGCAGCCTCGATGCGTAGCATTTGAAAGAGCTTGCATTCGTTCTCTAATAGATAAAATATTCCTAAAATCAATTATGTAGAGAACTTCCATCTTCAGTCTCTTTACCAATTACACGTATCCTTTTACCCCAATAGTACAATACAAAACAGATGGGACCGCCTGATACAATCCATATAGAGCCCAACAGACTGTTGCCCCATCCGAACCCCAACTTTTCATAAAGCTGGGGCCCGAAGGTAGGTAAAATGAATCCCATAATGTTCGAACCCACTCGGGATGCCACATTTGCCCATGCCCCGTATTTACCAAATTCATACAATTCGTAAGCAAGAAGACCTTGACTGAATACCATATTCTCTAGGATCAAGACAGATGCACCGATGTCAACTACTGGCCATGGGCCAGTTACTTCGGCAACCCAGCTGTACCAGAACAGTCCAATCGGCATTAACATAGCACCATCCATTGAATATGGAACGCGGAACTCCGGTCTGCCATGATTGTTGTTTTTGTTGCTAAGACTTCTGTACAGCCAGTCCATGATACGACCCCCAATTTGAGACGCAGCTATTGCACCAATGGCGATTGCAATATAATGAAGAGCGCTGATAGATACAGTCTGATTGTAACGCTCTATATAAAGAGTGGCAGAAGTTGAATTCAAAATCGTGTAAATGCCAAAGCCAACTCCAAATGCGAATGTGATTAATTGAATCACTAGCCGATGTATTAATATCTGAAAGGGACGAACAAGTCCGATAGACAATTGATGAAAGAGTTCTTTTCAACATTTGGCAATAAATGTCCTTTCGGCGTCAGATGTGAACTCAGCTTCGGATTTGGCCTTTCGTCAAAGAAGAACTGGTGTATAAGATTCCCGAATGAAACAGTATCACGCTGAGGTTATGAAAACTCTTAAAAATCGACATGATCCAGAATATCCATGGCCACACCACCAATTGTGCGATAATGCCTCCAAAGATCGGGCCAAGCGCAGGTCCAAGGTAGGGTAGAAAAGATGCAATTGCGAGCGGTTTTCCACGTCCTCGTTTGCCATACATATCGGCTATGACGGGTCCAGTAAGCTTTGAGGAGTGGCAACCGTCAGTCAATGAGCTTTGAGGAATGGATCTCTTTGTAGTGATACATACCGTGATACCACCACTGGCTCTTATTCCCGTCATGAGTCTGGCCGTAATCATCAAAGCCTTCGAATTACCTAGTGGGCAGAGAGCATTCCACAAAATATACCACGCATTTCAAAATAGCCAAATACCTTTTCGACCAGTGACTTCAGAGAATGCGGCAGCCACGAAAGATCCTATGGCCAGATCGAGAAAGTAAGTAGAAAATATAATCTGAGCAGTATGGTTATCAATCCTCAAATCGCGGGAGATATCGCCAAGAGCAGCAGCAATCATACTGGCTGACATTAAAGTCACTAGCTGTCCCAGGGAAAATATGACACCAATTGTAATTTTACGCCATGACGGCCAATTATAAGTATTTTCTGGGTCATCTGAACTTTCCAGGTGCTCTGTCGAGAGATTAGTCTAGGCGTTTAAGATACACACTAGATTCACATACTCCGTATTCTTTTCTGAGTATTTCCAGATGTCGAGAAGCTTCATCGTATGGATTAAGCACTGATTGAATACCGTCTACATTTTGCTTCTGACCTGATAAAACTAGAATAGTTTTGTTATTTGAAGACGCAATGCCTTTTTTCTGCTGCAGTGTTCATAATTTAGGATCGATGACAAGATTCTTGTATATTTGGATTGAGATTCGGTATTCGACTACTAATAAAGAGGGACAAAAAGCGAGATAAATAGAAAGGACAATGAGTAAAGCTTTGCAAGTCATCAAAGTATTTGTACGGAGTAAATCTACCGAAAAGATCAGATTACCCATTGTGAAATCCAATTCTTCCGAACTTTCGGAATTGATCAACCCATGTACGGAGTTGAACTTTTCTCGGGATAAAATCCACTTGCTGCCACTTAAAATTATCAGATCCGCTGCGAAATTCTCTTTAAAGTTATCAGATCCGTCGAAACCTTGTCTAGTTTGCATACAGTCAGTCCTAGGCGCGTTTCTGCCTGCCTGTGACACTGCCGTGCATCTGTTGTCACGCACTGAACAGTCTACTTATCTCTCGGACCCTGGAATAGAAGCTCGTGTGCCACCACCAACCAGTCTTTACTATGGTTTGAAGTAGCTAGATGTGAGTCAGACACACTGGGAGTAATGCTTACTGATAACTGCAGTCAAGATGTCAAGATATCAAGATATCAAGATTATGGACAAAAGAATCCCCGGGGTCTGGAACAAATCTAATACACTTTCAAGGTTCTGATCAATCAACATTGCATGTTGAAAGAAAAGCCAGTCTCGGAAATCATTACCTACACTACTTGAGCGAATTTAGAAAACCTTTCGCTTTATCCTTCCAGCCACCATTAGGCTGCGGTAACGGTCCCGATTGTTGTACAGCGTTCTCATTCTCTCCCTCCATGGCAAATTGTAACATAGCTTGTACAACCATACCACCCATTTGTTTGCCATCACTCCAACTGATTCTCATTTCCCCTTTTTCCAACTGGCAACTCCTCTCATGTGGATATAAAGTATATCTTAAGCCACCTCCTCCAAACTTTGGAATCTCAGGTCCCTCCCATTCTTCCCATGGCCCCTCTAATTGCGGTGCACATGCAATATATATCTTGTTAGCCGGAAACTTGTTGTTCCCAAACCAAAGATATGGTCGTCCTTTAGGTGCTAGTTCCGGAACTCTAATGATTGCGCCTTGCGCCTGGACCGGAATGAGATTGACGAGTTGATGAAGTGAGTAAGAACGATCCCATACTTTGCTTTTTCCATCGAGAGTATGAATGAGAAATTCGTAATTCTCTCGCGAGGTAAAATCAGACCCCGATCGAATGCGTGCCCAATGATTCTTGAGGTCAAGGGTCGGAGATGGGGCATCCTTAGCACCAAAAAGATAAATATATCCATCATCTCCCACGACATAGGTTGTTATACCGAAATGTGGCTCATTTTCTCCGAAAATCATATTGTCGCTCTAATTCTGTGAGTAATCTAAGCTGGAAAAAGGCCACAAAAATTTGAGACCAAGAGCCGTAAATAGAACTTCTTATCCCAATTTTTGTGATAGATTGAACTATCACATCCCTTTGGGTATAAATAAATCGGAATTTGCACTACTCACCATCAGTCTGTCCACTTTCAAAGAATTGTCAGGTTGAACTTGAACCCGCGCAACACCTGTGCCAAAACTCTTGCCAGCCGTAGATCCATGCTTTTGATATCATTAGCCAAACCACATTCTACCAAGAACTTCCCTCATGCATTTCGAAATATTACTCACTGTATACATTTTCTCATAGAATACCCACCCATCTCTTGCTCCCGGAAAACCTTCAATGATACCCCCAAATACCCAATTCACGACCCGATTAATCTTTTCCTTGTTCTTTGGATCCTTCTCATACTCTTCTTCGCTGCGCGTGTGAGGGATGAATGATGGTTGATATGCGTTTTCATGCATGTATGTACAAGTTAATGGATCGTTTTGGGGATCTGGAACATAGGCAACAGTATTGTTGGAGACTCCAACAAAATGATTCGAGGAACTATGACAGAAAGTATCGCCGAACAGATAGTATGTGTTGCCCCCAAGGTATACGGGGCGGCCTATATCACGGGGATATCGACGGCCGGAAACTAGCAGCCGAGGGTTAGAGTATAATCATGAGGTCATAAGGATATTAACTTACTATCCTTGACTTCACCGAAAACTTGAATGTTTTTGATCTGAGGTGGCCTATGTGACAATTTTAGAAGTCATATCGAACAATGCTTTCGTGATAAGTTTAACCTTACCATTTCATGTGAGGCATTTTGCTGGCGCCGGATGGATATGAAGCTCTCAACAATCGGGGTAATATACAATATACTCTACGCAAAGAGTGTTGGGTGTGTTCTTTTATGCACTATCAAACCTGGAAGCATGCTCAATCTGCTGATGCTGCGTGATGTCACTATCACAGGCATACCTGTATACCTCGGTCGGTCAGCTCATACTGGTAGATAATATCAGGGTGTTAATCAGCCGTTGCAATCGCGCTTTCCCCCTATGAAGTTCCTTATCCACGCGGGGGAGATAATCCACTGTGTAGCTTTCTAGGTTGTTGATTGGTGCTTGAGCATTGGAGCTCTTATCTGAGATAATGAGAGGGGCTCGGGTATAGACGATATAAAATACGAATTAATAGTTTTTCTTGAACTTGGATGCCCGTTGATGATTTTAACAAAATATATGACAATCGATTGGGAATATTTACTTGCATAGTATGATAATAGTGTATATATCATGTATGCAAAGATAATTGGTTCAGTAATAAGCCACAATAATATATGCAAGTAAGCCCAACCCCTCCACCCCCTCCAAGCATCACCACAATATCTTCATTAAATTTCGCGTCTCATCATAATCCTCGATACTATCCTCATTATGAACCACTAACTTGTTTCAAATATTATAATTTTTCCTTTCATCTCTCTAGGTCATATATCCCCATCTCCGCCCCCACCCCACTCCCGCTCCCGCTCCCGCGCCCAACCCGCATAATGCTCCCCCGCAAACTCTCAATCTTCATCTCCTTCTTCCGCTTTGGGTTCGATTTTCAACACTTTCTGATTCTCCTCACATGTATCGGAATCGCCTGTCTTGGTAAGTAACATACCGTATTTAAAACTCCAGCCCTTTATTTTACATCACCCAGTTCTGAACCCCGTTTCCCTCGGAACTCCACCCCTCCACCCCATCCACCCAACTTCTAACCTCCAACTCACCAACCAGTCCTCCTCCCACTCGGCTGCACCACCCGCCCCACCCACACCATCTATCTCCTCTCTCTCTCCTACGCCTCCTCCCCCCCCCTCCCCTATCACCCAAACCCTCCACCGCAACCTCACCTCTCTCCTTCCTCCAAATACTCAAGACAGCTCTCTCATCATCCGCACCGGCTTTCGAGGAATATGTATGACTTCTCAACTCACAAGTTCGAGATGGGAATGTGCCCAACATGTCACGACATTAACGAATATAATCACGAGCACGACCACAGATATCAATATTGATATCGATCCCCTAAACCTCCTCAAGCTAGCCGAGTCAGTGAGGAAAAGAATTGTATTCGATGGATTGCTGTGCGTTTATTTGTTCTTCCCTTCTTCAAACCAAAACAATATCCATACCAAGAAATCTCAAGGCCCTAATACACCCCAGCTACATTTCCCTCCCCCTCGCCCTCCTAACTCTCCTCCTTCTCACCCTCATCCCCCGTTGGAAAACCGATCGAAACCCGGACACCAATTCCGAACGCCAAGTAAAATCCTTTCCCTCTCGTGCCCTCAGCATGACACTCTGCTTAATCAGCGGTAGCGCCTTCCTCTTCGCATTTACATCTATTCTCTGGCAGCATTTTGCCGCGGTGACTGCTTCGCGATTTATCGAGCGGATGAGTTATGGAAGTGTGGTGGCGAGAGTTGGGAGTAACGCTATGGTGATAGGATGGCTGGGGGTTTTGATGTTATGGTTTGCGTTTATGGGGTGTTTACTGATGGTTTTGAGTTTGAGGAAAGTGAGGAAGACTTTTGGGTAATGTAACGAGTTTCAGAAATGAGATAATATATCACTGAAAATTAGAAAGAATTATCATGCAACATCTTTTTCGTATCATCTATCGGCTATTCAATATCCAACATGCAAAATGGTATCATCGGATCATCTAAAAAATTCCATCCCCCAAAGAAAGAAAATCGATTAAAGAGTTATAACTCCCCGTCATGTCATGCAAATGAACCCAGGAACAAATCAATATCCCTTTAAGGTTGTATTTCCCAATGCTTCCTTCAGCTCTTCGACAAATAACTCCAGGCGACTAATCATCGAACCCCATTTTGGTAATTCATGATCAGCCGTACTTTGTTGGACACTGGAGCTCACCACACTAAGCTTCAAACTTGGGACTGCTGAGTTGTCAATTTCCGTGTCATTCAGAAGTGTGATGCGGTATTGGAGATTCTTTCTGAGATATGGTTCAACATCCACATCGTCCAGTGATCTCAGATGACCTTCTGAAATATCGTCAAGTAAGGCACTGGTAAGCGGGATCGTTCCTGTGACCAGCTGGTTAGGATCAGCTACAGAGGTACCTGAGGATGAAAGTTTTGCAAAGACGCAGTGAGTGCCGACTAGATTAGGTTCGAAGGACCAACTCGCGGGGTCATCATTGAAAGGTCCAAGGAAGACGTGGATAAAGAATGACCTGGAGAGGGCAAATTTCTCAACTTGAATATTGGCAATCCATTCAGTGTATTGACCATTTGGGGCGAGGGCGAGGGAAAAAAGATCATATGTTGAGTTAAGTTGGTGCTCCCGTCCTAATAATTTAGAAGTAAGACCTGGAATCAAGCCGCGAGAAACCGTTTTTGCCGGAGCCGTGGTCCCGTACAGAAGATTTATGGCCTTGATAGCTTGAGCAGTTGTATTTCCTCCTTGTAACGTTTCCGGATATGCGTAACCAAAAGATTCCGTTGATACAACATCAGAAGAAGTATAAAAGTCGTTTCCATCGGCGTTATAAAATGGTTTAAGTGGTGTAGATACATCTTGGGTAGTTCCAGCCGTCATGGTGAAAGTGCTATATGACGCTTCTCTGGGAGTAACATAACTGTCAGGGTTCAAGGTTTGCCAAATGGCAAAACAACGATCGATCATTGTATGGTGAAGAAAGAAAAGTGGATCGAAGGAAGAGTAATCGATATAAGCCATGTGGCCACCACTTCCTGTCAATCCATGAATTTGATCGTGAAGAGATTCAATGGAATCAAAATCTCCTGGGCTGGATGCGGTAATCCATGCTTCATTACTGAACGTGCTGTAGTCGTGATAATTGGTGAAGAGGTTGTAGAGACGGTTTCGGAATGAAGCAGCACTATTATCAAGCTGTTGGGCAACAAGGTTGTTCTGTGAAGTGGCAGATGCATCATTGGATGTGGGATATCTCAATGTTTGGGGAAATTGGCTGAACTAAGAGTTGTTAGTGGGCAATCCATTATGAATAATTCGTTTATAACTTACAGGCGCATCAGGTAACTCCGATGGGTCCAAAGGGTTGAAGTGATAACTGAACAATGGATTGGAAATTGTTTGAACGCCGGCAGGGCCATTGACAGTAATAGTTGGAGTCGAAACACTTGGGGGTAAAACACTCTCCCCAGCGGGTGGTACAACAGCCCAATCCCAATATGGAATACGGAAGTTGGCTGCAGCGGCAGTATACCTGTCTCTCTCGGCTCCAGCAGGGAACTGTGCTGCAACGAATACAACGATACTATGGAGTACTTGCTACAGAAAGTGTCAATAGATGTGTCTCAGATGGCATGCATAGGATGTCTACCTCATAAAGTGCCAAGTAAGGCCTGTGCCAAGTAGGGAAGAGAATCGAGACATGGGTACAATATCCATTATTTTCGTCACCGGGAGTTGCTTGAACTCCGTCATATGGAAGATAAGGTCTACCGTGAATGCCTGATTGAGAGGTTAGCAGTTTACCATTTACTAGGTAGCATCGATAATTACCGGCTATCTGATACCATGAACGGATATCTGACTGATTGATAGTTTGCATCATTGATACTCCCAGAATATATAGCTCCCAGAGATCCGCATTCTTTTGTAGATCCCGGATTTCTTGACGAACTGGTATTGATGAATTTGAGCTGTTAAATGAGATTCCAGTAGTGGGCATAGGAGTAACATCCCGTTTCAAAAGTGCTCCGATGTCTACACCATAATCATAACCCCTTGGTCGATGATCGTGAGGTCTTGGGACTGCTTGTGCTGTTTGTGAGAGGAATGAACCAGCAATGGTAAGGAAAGACACGATTGAGGCTCCTCGAAAGAAGACCATTTTGATAAGAAATCGCAAATTATCAGGGAGAAATCTCGCAAATATGGCGGATGATCTTCAGGTAAAGTCCTCTTCAATGTTATGGCAATGCCGTAGTAGTAAAGACTGCGATTGGCGATGGACTTAAATATTAAGGGAGTGAAAAGTAAACCAGAAGAAAAGTTTGAGAGGCCGCAGCTTCAGATTCACCGGATGAAATACTTCGGCACTGTAAGGAGAGTAAATGCAAACAAATGAATGGACGAGAATGAGATGGCGATGAGAGAGAACCGCCCCCACGACTCAGTGCTCAAGCAGAATGAGTGAATGAATGATAAGATGAATGAATACAAAAAGACAGTAAAAGAATGTGTGTAAAGAAATCGAGGGATAAGAAGGGAGTAATGCAAATCAAAAAAAGAAATGAGACTCAAATGACGAAGTATCCACGGTTACATATTCTGATTATTATATTTGATTTGTTTCTTTTCCCCAAGAACATTGGTGGAACATAAAGAACCTTATGATGGATGTAAGAAAAGATTAGGGCTCAGGTGGGAATCCACGAACCAACACCTTGCCATGACTCCGGGCTGAGCCTCAGTCAGTAGGAAATTGGCATTGAAGGAATGGCCACCCGTGTGGAATAAGAAAAATAGAGATCATACCAAGAGAACGGATTGTACGAAAACGTGATTTCCCGGCCATGTCTAGTTGGAAGCGTCCATCGGCAGGTTGCCGTTAGGATTCATGTAGCGTCCCATTAGGATGGATTTGTGGTCATCATGGAAATTTGAAGATCACCATCCTTCGACCATTGTTGGAGGCGAAGTTCAGCAGCAGCTCATTTTAGGACAGTGACAGTAGCTCAGTCGTCGCGGTAGTAGCAGTCGCACGTACATGGTGGTGGTATTGGTGGTATTGGTGGTATTGGTGGTATTGGTAGCCTTGGTAGTATTGGTGTAGTATCGTTATAAATACCACTACAACACACTTTGTACGCGATTGTTGTCGATCAAAGTGTTCATCAAGTAAGATCTTGTAGAGATCAGGTCTAGTCCGTCGTTCCAAGAAAGTCTGAGGAATTAAGGATTAAAAGAGGAGCTCGGCAGGAGAAATCCTCAAGATTAAGGTTAAGGTTGATGATTACTGTATTTAGGGTTTTTTCTGCAGGTGGGACGTTGGGGGAACGATGTGTACCTATGTAGACTTATTATTGATGATGTACCAAGGGATAGGTAGACGATATATAACAGATCAATGGACGAATTGAATTTAGAATTCAATCGAAATTATCACCATCCAATTTGAATATCTTCATATCTGCTAAGGTTAGGTAATCCATGAGACTCTGGTTGCCCATCTTCTTTCCTCCTTACTTCTTAGGACTATCATTCAGATGAAAATCGATATATTCTCCACCTCTTCTATCACTAGGTACTCGGTACCTAGGCTCGAGCTAGGTATATACAGAATTCACAATTCATGGATTATTCAAAGTTCAAAGCGTTCTACATTTATTGTTTCAGAAATCCGTCCATCTCGAGTCAGAAGCAAAGGTTTGCCTCTATTCATGTGCCGACCTATCCATCTACCGACCTATTCATCTACCATAGCTACCTACAAGTGCCTACGGGCCTACCTTCCTCGATACCCATACTCGTAGATATCCAGCACTCTTCTCAAAGGAGACCAACAACTTCTCAATCTCCATGACCTATACTACCATTATCTTGCCTTCCCTTGGCTAGAAAATCTCACGTGAAAATGATTGATACATGATGCCAGTGCCAGTGCCAGTCAGTGCCAACACCAGTGCCAGTATACTATTTCAAACTTCTTTCTTCCTCTTCTCCTTCATCATCTTCTTGCCTACCTCTTCTTCCATCTGGGGCCGCTTACCCCCCTCAGCACTGCGGACGCCTTGGCATATTACTTACTTCATTTGGTCATCCGCTCCTTTCTCGTGTCATTCATCATTCATTATACAGCTAAGATTATTACCTCTTTCAGATGTCTCGATACAAATACAATCCGTTTGCCGTGGTTGTATTTTACGTACCTGCCTAGGTGAGTATGCTTTATTGGACGGTGGGTAGATATGAGATGTCTTTACTAAATAGTTAGTCCAGTACTATCTACCCAGTTAGTAGTTTCACTAAAATAGCATTTGATTCTGGGAGCGAGAGAAAGAGACTCTGAGTGCTACACCGATTGTTAATCTGCCGGTATCTGTCATTAAACCGTCGAAGAAATCATCTAGGATCATACCATACCATTATTTAATGATGAGGTGAGCACAGAAATCCATCGAAAGCATCTAGCAGACCCAACACACGCGTCTATATCTTCTTCCAAGAAGTCTCCACAATATCAAGATCCATACTCCAACATAACCAACACAAACTGGTACAAACGAGATCAAATCACAACCCCCGAAGACATTTACAATTCTAGTTTTCATAACATTTCATTCAATCCTGAATCAATAATCTCCATCTTTTGACGATCCATTCATTTAGTGCCCAACAAAATTAAAAGAAGTACCCCTTGTAAATGCTACATTTATTCCTTTTCCCAAGAACGCCTGCCAAATTTCAATTCGTCAATCATCTTTTCCTCTCCCCATATTTTCTCCGCGAGTCACGCCATTCAAGGTCCAACATTATACTTCAACTTGATACCCATAGCCGCCAATTCAACATCCA